TAACTCCTCACACAGCAACCTGACAACACATTTGGCAGAGAGGTGTTTATATACCTGTACACACAATGGATAACCGTAATTAGTTTCTAATATCCTGTAATATCTAAAGATAACATTTGGAGCCCACACGTATTTGAACACTCTGTGAATTCTGAGGGGTTCTAATTAGGTCCCAGTGGAGGTAATATTTAGAAAAGAACGAGGTAAAAGAAATCATCAAATAAAAGATACCAAGAATACATGGTTAATAAGGCAGAGAGTCTCCTGTGGGGTGTGCGTGTATGTGTGTGTGAGTGTGTGTGTACACACTAGGATTTAAGCATTATCTATTGAAGACGCATTTTCCAAGAGTCTGAACAACCACCTCCAGCAACTAGTGAGACGGTTTCCTATTTCCTGATATGCACAGACCTTTGTCCCTAATTCCCATGGTTTTCTGAACATTGAGAAACATATCAATCATCCCTCAACTTGCTGTTTTCAGTCACCTTCTGGAAGAATGCATCTTTCATCCTACCTTGACACTATTCAAATCATGATAAAATAAAAATTCGAAGGCCCAGGGTTTGGGGCAAGGCAGAAATTAGGTAACGTTTTATAGAGTAGTAAATATATTCATTCAAGTTTGTTATGATTACAATTGCTTGAGGTGCCTGGGTGGCTCAGTTGGTTGAGTGTCTGACTCTTGATTTCAGCTCAGGTCATGATCCCAGGGGTGGTGGGATCAACCTCCATGTCCAGCTCTGCACGGAACATGAGCGTGCTCAAGATTCTCTCTCCCTCTCTCTTCCTCTGCCCCTCTCCCCCACCTGCACTCTCCTCCCTCTCTCTGAAAAAACTAAGTGTGCATATATATCAAATTTTATGTTACATATGAAGAACAATCACCTCAGCAGAGAAAAAGAATTTGGGGGTTAAATTTGCAATGAAAGATGAATATGCAGGTGACTTCATGAGAGCCCTCACCCAAGTTTAATCTTTTCCTTTCACATACTCCTAATACACACTTTTGTGCCTTTAATGTTAGACACGTCTTAGCCCTGTCAGTATTATATCTTTCCTGTTAAAATGTCTGCCTCTTCTGCCAGACATCAAGCTCCTTGAGGGAAGAAATTATATTTTAATCATGTTTTCAAGGCGTAAAGCATCTCACACACATCCTTACCAGTGCCCCGTAAAGAAAACACACTTTATTAGGCAACATGCTTTATTAGGTAAAATGTAGATCTATTTGTGGCAAACCATGCTAAGGAGGTGAGGAGAAAAGAGAGAACATTGTGGATAATTGAGAATATTTACCAAAAATGTCAATTAAAATAGGATTATATGTGCCCGTACTGTCCACAGTCACCATGAACAAGCAGACATACTGTAAGTCTTCCTGGAATGAGTTAGAAAATATCTTCTGTGTCTGGTGTCATCCCTGATGATGTCTAGGAACAAACGCACCACAGCGGGGTGAAAAGGCAAGTACAATTAAAGGTAGAGTAGAAGGGAGCCAGTTTCAAAAACAGAATCCTCATAAAAGTGAATTATCTGACAGACGTCAGTAATTTCACAGTGAAAACTTAAAACATGAAAATGAAAATAAATAAAAGCAAGAAGCTAAACTCCCGTAGGGTTCAGTGGACAGCACCCAATGAGCACTACTGATAAGCCAGCACCATCCAGACTTGAACCCCATCCGGGCATTAGTTTTCTATCAAGGTTTTGGGCCCTGTGTTTCTACAGCATTTTAAGTGTCAGCAGACATACCGATGGCACCATTGCTGGGGCAGAGTAAAACCACCATCAGACACAACCTTATATGTTGGGAAAATAACACACATGAAGAGGGTAAGACATAAGAGAAGAACCAGTAAAGTCAAGGAATATACTCTTTAGGCAGAAGATAACGTCCCAATAACTTCTGGGGAAAAATCTTTTAAAAAATGCTATCTTAATTTTTAACAAAGGAGCATAAGAAAAGAAATAGGACCCTAATTACCACCATGCAATGAACATCTAATACACATACTGCTTTAGGTACTGAGGAGGCTGTGGAAGAAATATTGTGTATATAAATCCGAGAGAGCTCAGAGTTTAATTGCAGAGTGAAAATAAACATCATAACTACTATATGTAAAAGTGAATAAAAGAGGATTTCTTTACAGACTCATTTTAAAGAGTTTTTGCATCCATTATGGTAGTTAAAAAGTGGACACCAACTCTGTGACACAGACAAGACAGACATTAATAACTCATTTTTATAGACTCGGAATTTGGGGTTGGGAGAATCAATCAATCCATCCATCAATCAATCACACAAGCAGCAAATGGTAAAGCCTGGACTCAAGGAGCTAGACTACAGATTTCTAAATAAATACGAGTTCCACTGAATCATGCCACCTCCCTTCCAGCTGTACTGAATGTACAAGTGGCCTGGGTGAACATAGACATTTACAGAAGACCAGAGACTGGTGGACATGCCTGGGTTAGTAACGATTAGAAAGGGCAACCTGGGCAAATGGGACTGGAGACAGGGGCCGCACTCTAGAAGGAAAGGAGATGGAGGGCTTGTTCCTCTCCAGGTTCCTCGAGCAATCTCATCTACGGTTCTGCTTTCATCATATCCTGACCGTTTCTAACTCTAGTCCTGACCTTTTCTTCTAAACTCCAGGCTTGAACATTCAGCAATTCATTTGTGGAACTCTCAAATATGAAAAGCTTCTTCAAACCTCCCCTTCTACCCTTTACCCACAGAGATGGGAAGCTTCCTTCAGTACTGCCTATTTCAATGAATGGCACCATCCGCCCCCAAAATCAGAAACCAGGGAGCCTACGCTGTATGAGGGTAAGGCACTGATTTCAGGCACATGGCCTTCCCTCAACATTGTTTCATATACGATAGCTCCCTTGAGGATCCTCTAGAGGCTACTGAGGAGTAGGACAATCCCCCGGGCTCCTAACCATAAAGCCATTTTAAGAATATTGAAATACCCACATTAATATTCCAGCTCAGCCTGTTGAAGGAAGAAAATAAATAGAGGAAAGGAGAGAAGGAGAAGGAAGAAGAGACAGAGACAGGAAGGGAGGGAAGGACAGAAAGAAATATGGGGGCAGAAACAAAGGTCAAAATGGAGCATTTTTTCATTGAATTTACAAATAAGTGTTGAAGTCTCACGACTTGACTCTGGGTTCGTATCACTGTCACACAATGACAGCTATGTGTTTTTAATCACGGCACCATCACAGAAATGTGCCTGACTCTCTGATACCCAATTATTAAATGAGGGTCAATCAACTACAGAGTCTAAAATAGGTAGAAGAGAGTGACACAGAGGATGGCCGGTTAAGAAAGCACGAGCAGGACCATAGGCTCCAGTGTCAGACTGCAGGGCCTGACCCTGGCCTTTGTCACTTACTCGCTCTGTGACCTTGAGTAAACTGACTTAACTCTGTACATCTTTGTTTCCTAATCCATGAAGATGAGTTGTAAAGATTTAACGAAATAACTAAGGAGCCGAAAATTATTACGGCAAAAGAGAAGTTCCTCTTTGAAGGGACATAAACCTCCAGAGAATCTGATGGAGATGGGGGTGAGGAGAGTACATCCTCACACAAATATGGAGAATTATACAAACAATTTCAGGAGGCTCATGGACCGTGAACCCTTATTTTCATAGTCCTTAGACCACATAATCTCTAAAATCCTTTCTCTTGCAAGAGCCTGTGGCATGAGCAGCCAGAAACGAGTACTGAGGGATTTCTGTTAGGCTTCAAGAGAAGCAGATGTAGGCAAGCTACACCCATATACCTTTGGTTTCCATGTGATTAGCAAAAATCTGTCGAATGATTATAAGGAACACATCCAAGGCCATGAGTCAAAGGGAAATCAAAACAAAGTGTAATACTGCTATGGACTGAATCGTGCTCACCGCTCTCCACCAAATTTCTATGTAGAAGCCTTAACATCCAAAGTGATGTTTGGACACGGGACCTTTGGGAGATAATTATGTTTTGATGACAGTGGGGCCCTAATGATGAAACGAGTACCCTTATAAGATCAAGAGAGCTTGCTCTGTCCTTTCCCTCCCTTTTCCCACCCTGTGAAGACACAAGTGAGAAGGTGGCCTTCTACAAGCCAGGATGAGAGCTCCCACCAGACCTGAATATACTGGCACCACCATGATCTCAAAGCTCTAGTCTCCAGAGCTGCAACAAATAAATGAACAAATAAATAAAATTCAGTTGTTTAGGCTACTCAGGCTATGATGTTTTGTTACAGCAGCCCACATGACTAATACCGACTCCTTACTCAAAACCATGCCTATAGACACAACCCTGTCTCCTCCTGATGTGATAAAATACACATCGTGGGCTTTACCATGAAAATGTGGCCTCATCCCATGTGCCCAAGAAGCAGCATTTTAAACTATAACCTCTACAGGCTTATTTTTTCCCATGCTTCAAAGGGTTTAAAAAATAATTATAACAGAGTCATCCCTACTTTTTCTACTGACTCCAGCTAACAAATATTAAGAGTCAGAGGCAGTAGAATATGAGGAAAAAGTACCTGGGCTTTAGGTATAATTAATTTCACACCAGGCTCACCACAGCTAACCTGGGTAACCTTACAGTTTTAATCATCAATTCTTCATATTATACCTACCCCCCTTTCAAAAACATCTGCATCCTGAAAAAAAGTTCAAATGTATTCCTAATCTTCATAATCTGCTCTCAAATTATATTTCTAACTATATTTCCCAGAATGTCCCCCACAGGCCCTACTCTGCAGATTCTAACCAATACTCTATTTTCACCCTTTCAAACATGGCCCATACTTTAAGAAGGTCTTTCTCTTAGCTCTGTCTAGTGCATCATTTGGGGATGAACTCCCTTCCACTCTACAGCAGTCAAAGCCCTACTTATCAGGCCATAGCATAGATGAAACTGGAAATTATTGCACTCAGTGAAAGAACTCAGTTATAGAAGATCAGCTATTATATGAATCCACTTACAGGAAATGTCCAGAATAGGCAACTCTACACGGAAGAGAGCAGATTAGCAGCTGTTCAGGACTAGGTGAAGGCGATTTGAAGAATAAGGAGTGATTGCCAGTCGGTGTGGATTTCTTTTTGAGGTGAGGAAACTGTTCCAAAATTGCTTTTGGTGATGGATATACAACTCTGTGAACATAATAAAAACCAACAAATTGTACACTTTATTTTTTAATGTTTTTGTTTCTTTTTGAGGGAAAGAAAGACAGAAAACATGAATTGGGGAGGGGGCAGAGAGAAAGGGAGACGAAGAATCCGAAGCAGGCTCCAGGCTCTGAGCTGTCAGCACAGAGCCCAAAGTGCGGCTCAAATTCATGAACCATGAGATCATGACCTGAGCCAAAGTCGGAAGCTTAACTGACTGAGCCACTCAGGCGCCCCTAAATTGTACACCTTAAAAGAGTTAATTGTATGATATATGAATTAGTTCTCAACAAAGCACTTATAAAGAAAGAAAGAAAAAAGAAAGAAGGGAGGGAAGAAAGGAAGGAAGGAAGAGAGAGGGAGGGAAGGAGGGAGAGAGGGAGAGAGGAAGCAAAAAAGGGAGAAAAACATACCGATCCACAGAGCCTCTTCAAATGTATAAATCTATTTTCCCCACTTTGTCAGAGTTAAAATTCCTTCAGTTGAGCTCCCTCCGAATGTTATTTGTACCTCCAGTTAACATCTCTCATTCTAGCTGGCAGTGTAATTATGTTTAGTTCTTCCAGTGCCTGCCTCCCCCACTAAACTATAGGTGCTTTCAGAGTAAAACAAAACTGTGGGAAACATTCCCATAGCCAGGCTTCTGCGAACCATTAGATTCTTTTGTGCACATTAGAAAAATGTACCTGGAATTGGACTGGCAAATAGAGTGAGGGTAGGACTTGAGTCCCTCCTGCCCTCCGGCCACCGAGCACAACATAATCAGAGTGACAGTAAGCAACAGCCGTGCCTATGCCCTTCTTCTCTCCTCCAATAGTCCAGTAAAATCCTTAAGCAAAGGGAGGCACTCTCAGTAAATAAACTAATACCTGCAGAATGAAAATGATATGTCTGAACCCATGTCTTACGATAAGACACTCCCAGATTCCAGTAGAAAGCTCAAGGCATTTGTATTTGGGCTTCTCTTTACCAGTTATTTATTTTAGTGTTTCTTAACAATGATATTAAAAAAATGTTTTTCTTACTAATTGGATGCAAAGACCTTGGGTGTACATATGAAACACAGCGAATTATTTTCACACATTTAAGTAGAAAGGAAAAACAGACAATTTTTTTTGTAAGTCAATTTACAATTACTAAAACAGGTCAAGTTATTATGAAAGCCTGCCTTTTATAGAGGTGACAGCAAACAATATATACCGAAAGGCATTTTAGGATCAATCCGGGTTTTAAGATGTTCCTTCTCTCAATTGCCATACTTGGGCAGAGTCCTGACCATTTTGGACCTCATATGAGAGGTTTCCATGTCCAAGCCCATTCTCCCGTGCCCGTCTTTCTCTGGCTAACTCCATATTTCTTTGGAGAAACATGCCTTGCCCACAAGCTAGGCCAGAAAATAAAAGGTGTTTAATATTCCCACAACAGCCTGCACCCCCTTTGCTTTACAGCATGTTTCATGGCCATAATTACATAATTATCTGTGAAATTATGAATGTGGTCACTGTCATTCCTGGACTGAAAGCCCTGCAATGAAAGGGCTTGTATCAGCCCGGTAGCCACAGTTCCGGTTAAAGGCCTGATACTTGGTCATGGTCGGCGCTCAAGAACTAGTTGCTTATTAAATGGATCACCTCTCCTCATTCAAAGCATTAGGTTCTTGAAAATAGGGATTGTGTCTAATTTAGTTTGGTATCACCTATCGTGCCTGGTTCACTGTCCGATAGGTAGATAACATCACAGAATTCACACAGATGAATGAATAAATGAACTGCATAGTGAGTCACTACTCATGCATGGTGTGTTAATGGTAAAATAGCACACTTGAGTGGGTAAGGAGCTCAAGGCAACCGTCCGAGGAAGCTGGACCCAATCTTCGACCAAGACAAGAAGGAGGGCAGAGGCGGAGATGGAAGATGTCCACAGTCTAAGACTGATGTCAGTTTCCTTGGGCTCTGAGTTAATTCCCTCCCAACTCCAATGGGTGAGACCCTTTCCCAGATGCAACTAGGCTACAAATCTTGTGTTGCATCAAGCACAGAACCTAAGAAAACCAGGCCGACAGAAAAATAAAATCACTCAAAACAAAACCAAAGCAGGAGCAGCCCGAAGACCAGCCAGGGTTAAGCAACCATGAGAAGGTCAGGGTATGCATGCCACAAACAGGCTGAAGCTTGAAACACGTCTCCCCTGTGAGGACTTATCCAGAGTCGTCCCCCAGCAGCCTCCTCAAGTGGCTTTTGATGTGAAAAGGTCATTTTGCCAAACACGGTTTAGGTAGATGCCAGTGGCAGACCTCCCTGAGGTGTTAGAAGGGTCCAGAGGTGGACAGGGAAACCGTGTGGATAAAGGGGGACACTACCATGTGCCAAACCCCACATTGTCAGACACTGGCAATACGGATTCTGGAGCCCCAAGACCTGCAATCAAGATCTGGGAACCTAACTGTGCAGTTCAATGACAAGCACCACCGAAAGCCCAAAGAGCAGAATGATAATCACGAGGCTGATTAGGTGAGGACTCAGATAGCATGGCCCACCCAGCATCACAGGACCTATCAAACTGATGCAGCTACCACCATTCTGGGCCACCAGACCAGGGTGTACATCCCAGCTCCAACACTCACGGGCTGTGCAGCCTTGGGAAACTTATGTGAACTTGGCGCGCATGTGAGCCCTCTTCTGTTAAATGAAGAGCGGGACAGCTCTCCATGAAAGGTGAGTACTGATTAATAAGCAGTGATGGAGCCCACTGAGGGACAAACCACTGCCTAACAGAATCAATCACAAAAGCCAGAACAGGCAGGACCTTACATTCAACCGGAGCTTGGGGAGGAGAAGGGATTTACCCACTCAGTAAATCACCTCACTGGATCCAGGTAAGCAGCCAGGCCCCATGATCGCGATGCTTGATGCCTTTGGCGAACACACGGAGCTGTGGCCAAACTGTCTGCTAATAGATGCACTATCCTTCCCATGGTACCCGGCTCCAAGGCAGTAGTGTGTATGTGTTTGTTATCTCCATTGATAAAATAACGACTCCAGAGTGCAGATAACCGCTAGCGCTGGAATAGAGGTTTCTGGTGGAGACTGTCCCACTAGCTCTATACTCTCACAAGCCCTCCTAAAGGAAGGAACTTAAGGAAGGAACCTAAAGGAAGAAACTCAAAGGCATGAGATTTCTCTTTGCTTTTGCCGCAGCTGGCTTCAACCTAGCAGAAGGAATATCCTCCTCAGAGCCGCGCTTTCTTTCCCGTCTTCGGAGCAAGATGGCCTTCCTGCTCTGACACAGGGGAGGGACAAAGAAGAGGCAAAAATTGGGAGGAAGGGGGAGTTAAAGGAGAGGAATAACCACATGGTGACTGATCACTAAGCCGTGGCCCTCGAGCATCTGGTGAGGAGCTAGCTCAACCCTTCTCTTTACCAGGAAGACTCTAACCACCACTTCACTGCAGTGAATCTCTCACCCGGAGATAAGACAGAGAGATGATATGTGGGGCAATGAGCCTCTCTTTCACACATATCTCTTCATGTAAGTGGGTGAGTTTCTCAATGGAAGAGTAACAGAGGGCCAGCCTGGCATGGGTAATGTCCTCCTAAAAATGAGACTGCCAAAGGACGAGGAAGGTTCTTCTTACCTTGAAGGTAAAAGAGTTTGTAATTACAGACTTTTATTTTTCATCTGTGTATAAATGTGTCTATCGATCGATCAATCGATCTACCTACTATCTAATCAAGAGAAGCAAATAACTTCTTTCTTTTTAAGACGATTCTATTTGAAAAAAGAAAAAAAAGTACTGGATGGGTAAAGGAGAGACCCTGATTTCAGTTCTGGTTTCATCACTAACTAGAAGAGTGAATTATGAACGGTTACCAAAGCCTTCCAGGGCTCTGTTCCTCATCTGTCAAGTGTGGGCTTGGGTGGATCAACAAGGACCTTTCAAGTTTTAAAAAGGAAAGGAGAGGAGAAGAAAGGAGGGGAGGGGAAGGGGGGAGGGGAGGGGAGGGGAGGGGA